TAGGAATATTGTGTTAACACATCCTTTTCTTTCAGGGTTGCCATTATTTGCACCTAACCCACACCATTGGTAGTATTTAAATTCAAGTCAGCAAGGGTTGAGGAGTGGCTCAAGAAGCAGAGTACTGCCTAGCAAGCATAAAGGCCCTGAGCTCAAACCCTAGTACCACCAAAAAACAAAAAGAAATATATTCAAATAAGCAGCCTCTATTATGGTTCCTTTTCAACTCTGAGAATGAAAGTCTCAGCAAAGCTAGTCATGAAGCCATGAGATACTTGGCTTCTAACAGAATGAATCTGAAAGCATTTGACTAATTGAATTCTCTCAACGCTTCTCTAACTTGCCCCCTCAGTCTGTCCCATTGGTTTAGGGAAATGCCCTTTGTCTGGTCAGGTAGTATCTAGTACAAAAGCAAGATGATGTTTTTATTTTTTCTTCTATCTAAATTTACCTAAATGCCTGCAACCATGTTATTCCTTTCTTTTGTGAAGAGAAGTAAGAAGAGCCCAGGACTGAGAACTAAGAAGAAGATCTGCTTATTAGTGCTGGCTCTGCTGCTAAATACCTTATTAAGCAAATCACTTTACCTCTCAAGGTTCAAACACTTCCGGGTCAGATGACACATTTGGACCATAGGAGCTGAATTTCTTGAAATATCACAGCAGCGTTGTTCTGACTTCTTGCCTCTTGCAATCTTTATGTGAGGTCCACATGTCCTTCCATCACTTCTTCCAGTCATGGAGCCCAGTTCACCAAGTTTCATTGTAAATAATATCTTATTGCCCCCCAATAAACTTCCAGGTGGGATCCCTCCTTCCTCTGCTCTTTAAATGTAAGTGCTTCATGGACTGTCTGGTCTTGGCCCTCCTTTTCTTTAAAAAAAAAAAAAAAAAAAAAAAAAAACACCTCCATCACGCTCTCATCCATGCCTTCCAAAACTTCCCCATCTTTATCTCTAGCTCTGACTCCTTACCTCTCCATCCAGCATCCCAACCATCTACCAGAAAACTCCACCACGTCTTCCAATGGGCACCTCAAACCTGGTGTGGATCCAGACTCTCTTCCTTCTCCTGAATTCCCCATTCTTATCAGACTCTACTCTCCCCTCAGCTACCTGGTATTCCACTTTTCTCTCATCCATGCGTCATCAGGTGTCAAATCCTGATGATTTTCACTACTTGCTCTCTCAGCCATCCATGTCATCCATGCACTCTGCACATTTGGTCAAATTTTGTGCTGTTGCAATAGCCTCACTGGTTGACCCTTTCTAGGTCACCTCCCCACCAAGTTGATAACCTAGTGTACAGTGAGGCTATGTTAAACTCTTAAAATGTGGCTTTAACTATCATTCTTTTCATTGCTCCCCATCTCAATATGTAAATTCCAAACGCCTTGTTCAATGTTGTCTATTGAGAATCTGTCCTCATCCTGTCAGTCTTAGTTTCTTTCCTCTATTCCCGATATGGCAATTTAGATTCCAGATGTGTTGTTCCAAATAATGCCAGTTTAGGCTTTTGCTCAAAAGGAGTCCTTGACTTGGGTGCCCTTTCTCCCCATCCCCCAGCAACCACCCAACACACCCATCAGATGCCCTTCTAAGCTAACCTTGTCAGCTACAGGCAACCTCTCCTGGCCTCCCCTTAACCTCGTGTGACCTTTCTTTTGCCTTAGTAATGACATGTGACACTCTTCAGATGACTGCTCCTTGCACAAATGACGTTCCTTTTTTATGAGAAGGCAAGCTTCTTAGGGAAAATATCAATTTCTGAACAAGTTTTAAACACTGCAGAATTCCTGGTGTCACTTTCAACATAAGATTTGTGCAGAAGCACCTAAATTCTGGATAAATTAATAACTAGATAACTCAGGATAAATCCTGCCATCTTGACAGAGTTAACCAGAGTGAAATGCGAGCTAAGGGTAAAGCAATTACATCTCCAGAATGCATTCTTAAGCACTGTGCTTACTATCAGCAAGTGGTAACATCTTTGGGTCATAATGACCTTACAGTTGCACGTAATGAATAATTTGCAAAATAAGAGGTAGCCTTTTACAGAAGGATTTATGGACGTGAACTGCTAAATGGGCAGTCAAACAGTGAAAAGCCTAGGTGACTGTTCATTGAATGAAAAGTCTAGGTAACTGAACACTGAAGAAGCACACAATATAAGGTCCTCAGAAGTGTTACACTGATAAATGTCCGATGTGCCTGGCAACAGCAGCTATCTACAGAGCTGCTCCAGCCTGGGGAAATTTTGAAAAGGAGGTAGAATTTCCCATCTATTTGTTTCATGCTGATTTGGGAAGGAATTAGCTGGCTTGTGTAACTTCTGGTACACTAGCAATACACTGGATATGAAACTTAAGGTTCGCCCAGCACTGGTGGCTTACGCCTATAATCCTAGCTACTCAGGAGGCAGAAATCAGGAGGATGGTGGTTCAAAGCCAGCCTGGACAAATAGTTCATGACACTCTATCTCAAAAATACCCAACACAAAACAGAGAGTGGCTCAAGTGGTAGAACACCTGCCTAGCAAGCATGAGGCCCTGAGTTCAAACTCCATTACTACCACCAAAAAAAAAAATCTTAAGGTTCACTTAGAATTTATTTTGCCATATTGATTTTGAAATTTCATTTGATTTTTTTGGGGGGAGGGTGGTACTGGGTTTGAACTCAGGGCTTTGCACTTGCTAGATAGGCACTCTACCACTTGAGTCATACCCAGCCCTCTTCTGCCATATTGAAACTAAAATATTATTTTTGTTATTTATTTCAGTAATGCTTATATATTCCTATTGAACTTGGCAAAGAGATAATAGCTTACTGCTGATACATATCTTATGAGGAAAAAGTACTCCTACATTAAAATAGGATCAAGTCTATGACATTATAAAATTCCCTTCCCACCTACCTAGACTGATGAGATCACATTAACTTCTAAGTGACAAAGCAACCCTTGCCTAAGCCTAGTGTTGCCAAAACAGTGTGGAGACCCTGCCTCTGCCCACAATGTCCACTACCTGATCACCAATTCCAAAATGAAACCAATCCAAACTGGCAACCAGCCAGGGTGGGGAGGTACCACTGGCTCAGTAGCCACTGTCCACCACACATCCTGAGCCTTCCTCTGTGGGCTACACATGGAGAAGGGTGGATAGTCACAGTACCAGAGCTAGGGAGCTAAAAATGTGCTCCATCCTAATAGTCAATCCCATTGCTTATCCTGGGCTGAACTCCAGGCCTGGGTTCAAATCCTGACTCTATCTCTTACCAACTATGAGAAATCAGATGAGTTAATCTCCCCTAAACTTAAACTTACTCTTTTGTAAAAATAAAAATCATTATAGTGTCTCTGTTATTATAACTATTAAGTGAAATAATGCCTATAAAGAGCTTACCAAAATGTTTGGCACAATAACTAGTATTTAAATTATTACTAATATTTGCTCAATAACAGTGAAGAGTTGACTCAAAAAGGTTTTTAGAGTTTTCATGACCAATGACTAGATTTCATCCAAAACAAGAAGTGCTTCTAAAGATCCACACTTGTTGCCCTGCTATTTTTTTCCAAAAGAACTCCTACTAAAATTAAGAAAGTGATGCTAACGAAGTCATGTATTCTTCCTATACACAAAGAGAAACACAACGTAACGTTGGGAAACCACGTACTGTTTTTCTTCAACAAATGTACCTGAACTTACACATCAAAAAAGAGTTTGTAATGTTCAAAGGAATCACTCCGGAAGCCGTGCACTTACTTCAGTAATGTTGCCAAATATTTTTGGAACTCTTCCTTCTAAATTACCTTCCGAGTTAGCTTCAAATTCTTTTAGATGTCTTTGTTGACAACAAAATTTTCTTCTTTGGGAGTTTTCAATTTCGAAAGTAGATTTAAAACTAACTTTTGTGAATAAGCTGGAAGATAATGTCACCCTCTGATTTTTTAAAAAAATGAAAAAGCAGAAACTTTTTTGCCTGATTCATTATGTGTGTCAGTTTCAAACAGGGAATGTCTAAGATATTTCAATAGAAGAATAATCAGAAAGAATGCAGTGCTTTCTGTATAAGTAACAAGTTGTGGGCTTATTCACTCAATTTTATTAAGCAAATACTTCTAGAACATTGAGTAACAAGTACTATTCCAGGAACTTGGCGCTCACATCTTATAAGGTAAGTCCTCTTAGTTTCCCTATATTACAGACAAAGTCACCAAGGTTCAACAAACTACTAAGGTCACAGAACTACTAAGTAAAGAAGACAGAAATCAAGGCCAAATTGTTTATTTAGTTTAGATGCTGTATTTTCTACATCTAAGTAGAGCCTCTGTGTATTTTGATTAAGCTTCCCAGTGTGTGTGTGTGTGTGTGTCTGTGTGTGTATTTCTGAGATAACGTAAGTAAAATTAGTGAAAATTATTATTGTATCTCTCCATGAATTTTTTGGGCAATAAACTTCAGGGCGTTATTCTGCAACATCACCATGAATTTTTTTAGCCTCAGCTAGTATTTAGAAACATTATCTGAACCCTTTTATCTCTGTGGTCCACAGGACTCCTAAAGAGGTAACAGTCTCACTTTCTAACCTCCCAGTTCTCTGCTGATCCACAGGCTGTCCTGATTTTCACCCAGCAGCTCATTTAGCCAGTGCCAGGAATGACCTCCCCTCTCCCAGGGTTTCCTGATGCCTGTTTCCAACTCCTTCTTTCAAATTCACCTTTACCATTGCATCACTCAGTATGCCCACCTTGGTAGATGAATGGAGAAGACGGAAGAGGGGAGCAGGAAAAGAAAGACATGATTGTGTCTTTTCAAACTATTTCCCATAAGCCAAACCCTTTGTCTCCCTTTTCTCTCCTTTGCTTTGAAATAGAAGCTTCCAGAATGGTTTCATACCAAGTCAAGAGCATATTGCTGCCTGACCATTCAGATAATAACAACCCAAGAAAATCTACTTAAACAAATTTTTTAAATTAATTATGCTGGAACTTTCTTTATTTCAGGATAAAAGAAAAATACAGGAAGAAATCTCACAAAAGCGCCTGAAAATAGAAGAGGAAAAACTAAAACACCAGCATTTAAAGGTAACTTATGACTTCAATTTAATTCAATGATTTTTTATTCAAATATCCTAATATTCAAATTTCAATCATAAAAAAGCTTTAGGAAAAAGAAAATTCCCATAACAGGTCTACTAATATTCTAATCTAGAAGAAGCCAACAACTAGTAATATTTGCATTTGAGATTACTGCCTCTGGCAAGCATGTAGAAAATTGAAAACATGGCATTATTACTTCTATTCTTTACTTCTGAATTTCCTAATTTTCTTGGGTAACCTTGAGAATTCAGCCTTGAAAATTTGGCCTTTGCACAGTCTTGCCTAACATCCCTAGGGAGAGGATCAAGCTAGGAAGTTCCTTTTGAAATCACTGAAAGGTCAGCCATTCCCTAGGCGGTGCAGAACAGACAGTGTCTAGCCTGGTCAAAGATGCTGTGTTTCAAAGCTTGGTGCAATGAATCCAATGTTGTTTGAGAGTGGTTCGGATTTCTGTTTGATTTTTGTTTGGTCAGAACATGAGATCATAGTCATAAATAAATCTCCATTTTTAAAATCAGACTTTACATCTTTTTCAGGGTGTGGTTGTTTTGTAATTAAAGTACATTGAGTTTCAACATTTTATTACGTAGCTTAGTCACAGGATACAAGCAAATGACAAACAGGAGCTCCTTGTGAACAGGCCCAAGGCAGGAAGCTGTACTTATCTGGCAGGGCTGCTATCAATAGATTACAATAATCCCCTCAATGAAACAATGCCCCCCTTCCCCACCACGGGATTCCAAACTTCAATTACACTTTCCAAATTCAGCTAAATCCATTTTTCTGATGGAACAAATAACCCCCTCTGGAAGGAAACCTCATTTAAGATTCCAGTTAGCCTCAGCTGTCTGGATTCTGTTGGCCTCTTTGCTCCTATAGAAGATGACATTTCCGTTGTTTGAGGGATATTTGCAAATTATAGTTAACTTGCTGTCCTTACAAAATGTCACAATGAATTTACATGAGTAGCAGACACACTCAAGAAATGCAGTGTATACTCCCAGAAAATCAATGACATGAAAACAAAGTTTGCCAAGTTACTTCAATATGATTCAAATGAAGTCAGTCAAATCTAGAACAAGATAGATCACTTCTAACTCTAAAACCAGAATGTACTCTCTCTCTGTCTCTCTCTCTCTCTCTCTCTCTCTCTCTCTCACACACACACACACACACACACACACACACACACACACACACACACAGTTTGGAACCTGAAGTGGGCACATCCTGTTTCTGAGTAAACTGATAACTCTCCAGCAATCACCAACTGCTATTCTTGCAAAACCGGAAGTTCAAATCACAGCAGAGCTCACAGTAGAAGAAAAGGTTTTAATATCCCCTCGATTCATTCTAGAAAGTGAGGCTCACATAGGAAAAGCCTGAGTCATTAAAAGGTCCATTTTCACTAAAAAGTGGGCTTCGTTTCAGTACGTGCCAAAAAACTGTCCAGAAAGTAATACGCAGTATTCCCTATTGACTTGCTTCCAGGAGGCCTCTGCTAATCCAATCCAATCAAAACATTTATTGTGCTTTGGACTGCTGTACACAGTTGGGCAGATTGTGTACTGCACAAAGTACAAATGGTGGTGCTAAAATCCTACCCTTGCCAAGCACTCCGGCCCAGGGCTGCTGGGTCTGAAGCAAGACGTTTTTCACTTTTTCTGTACAAAGGTGCATACTACTTTCCCAAACTGTGCACTGGCCCCAAAGCGTATTAGAGGAGGGGAAGGAGGAGAAGATAACACCTTTTCCTAATTTGGGAAATTAGAGAGTCAGTAAGTAAAACAAGTTAAATGAGGTATTTTTGTTTAAATTAGCATATAAGTATTAACTCTTTAATCTGAGGTGTCAATGAAGATTCTATCAAAAATGTAGAATTAAAGCTGAGTCTTAACTGATAAGTGGAACTTATATGGGTATACACAGGGCCATTCAGTGAACAAACATTTATTAAGCACCTACTACATGCAAGGCTCAAAGCTGCACATGAGAATATAATATAAATAAAACTAGACCTGTGCTCTTAAAATGATAACTGACGCATAAACTCATCACAACAATTGTCCTGTGATGAACAGTCTGTGGGAGGGGCAAACTGAGAAGGGAACAGAGAGGAAGGAGAGGCCACTCCATAGAGAACATTCCTCCGAGTTTGCAGAAGTCTTTGACTATTCCAAACAGCAACCAGGCACAAATCCAAAATAGGGCTCAAAAGTGCACAAACGTATTTTAAAATGCATTCTACAATATGTTCCCCAAGTCAAGAATGCTCCATTGGCCTCCATAGTTCCTGTCCTGTCTCTTACTTTCTTTCTCATTCATCTGTCCTGGCTCCCATGACTGTCCTCAGCCCTTCCCTGGTTGCAAACTAGCTCAGCAAACAACACAAGCATAAATGTTTACAAAGCACTCTTCCTGGATCAGTGCACCCACATTTCCAAACAGCTGTAGTAACTCACCCCGATCTTTACCTCCTGAATGTGATAATCGTACACATAACGTCTGTGCACAGAATTTCCAGGGACATCAGTAATATTTGGTATTCAAACAAATCTGAGATTAGTACACTGTGGATTTTTTTTGGGGGGGGGGACTGGAGATTGAACTCAGGGCTTTGCACTTGCAGAGTAGGTGCTCTACCATTTGAGCCACACCTCCGGTCTATTTTGCTCTGATTATTTTCAAGATGATGTCTTGCAAACTATTATTTGCCCAGTCTGGCCTTGAACTATGATCTTCCCGATCTCTGCCTCCCAATTAGCCAGGATTACAGGCATGACCACTGCAGCCTGGCTACCACTGTGGGTCTTCTCATCTAGTAATATTGCCACAATCATTCATGCCACCAGGAAATACAAAATACACTCAAATCTAGAAAATTTTCGTTTTGCAAATCCATTCAATTCATTGCATGAAAACTCTATTCTAAAAGTCTACTGTAATTGGGGAGTAGAAGCTGAAATGCTTCTAAAAACCTTCCTATAAAAAACAGCCAAAAGATTTTTTTGTTGCCTGCATGTCACTTCAATTTTCACTGAGTTTGTTTGGCTTTTGATGCTTTTTTTTCCCTCTTCGTAGTGTCAGGATCAAACCCAGCATGGGCTTCATGCATGCTAGGCATGTGCTCTACCACCGAGCTACATTCCCAACCCCATATGGCTTTTACTTCTCATTTCATTGCTATGAAATTATATTCAGATTTGCGACCTAAAGGCAAATTAACTCTGTTTTGATGACCACAATGTGATTGTACCAGACTATTTGGATTGCATATCCAAATTGTTTTACACTTAAATTCAAAGACCTCCCACTGGGGAAAATAACAATTTGTGAAGTGTGGGCAAAGTTTTAGAAGACTAAATTAAAATGATTTTTATTACTAACTGGACTAAGAACCTAGAATGTAGCCTGAAGCTAACCTAATCATGTCACAAGTTCATTCTCTGCCCGCTGCAACTAAAAACATTCCCATCTGACTGTTTCTTGGAGAGGTAAGCATGCAACAGGCTGATTTGTACGGGGTGTAATTTACTTTGTAGGTGTCATCTGCCTTCTTTATTATACCTTAGCTGTCTTTAAATGTCCTCAAGAAAAATAAATTAAAGTCAAGGTAAATGCTTAGAATGATGATACAATCAGATTTTTCTAGATATCTTTGACCTCAGCAACCAAATCTTGACCTATATTGTTAATATTTACTGGGCTTATAGAAAACATTTTTGCAAACAGCTGACTAGTCAATAATAAAGGGCTAAGTTAACTCTGGGGGAAATAACATAAATAAATGTCTCTTCTGGTGTGTGTTGGCCACATGGAGTTGTCTAGAATTCTGAAAGGGTCAACACCAATGTGACAATCTCAGCGAGGTTCTTCCTCACTTCAGCTAGTGCTTTGCAAACCACGTTCTGTACATCCATAAGCTTCCAGCCACTAATCCCCACCCTTGCCCACTGCTTCAACTAGCGCAGTCTAGATTGTGTCTGTTCTCAATAGTATGTTTATTTGTAATTAGCTTAATTTTAGTTTTCTTTCTTTCTTTTCTTTTTTTCTTTTTGATGGGACTGGTGTTTGAACTCAGGGCTTTGAGTTTGCAAAGCAGGCACTCTACCACTGGAGCCACACCTCCAGTCCATTTTGCTCTGGTTATTTTAAAGATAGGATCTCATGATTTGTCTGGGCTGCCCTTAAACCAAGACCCTCCCAATCTCAGCCTCCCAAGTAGCTAGGATTACAGGTGTGAGCCACTGCCACATTGGTGCCTGGCTGTTGGTTTTCTTTTTTAAGAAATGATTTGAACCAATTCAGGATCCACTACATATATACATGGAAATGTCATAATGAAACTCTCTGTACAGATATCTTAACCCAACAAAAATATCTTTTTTTCCTCAAAAATGGAGGACAGGAACATAAATCAGGTCCTGTCTAGGGGTTGGTACGGGGGGGGGGTAGAAAATAAGGAAAGGGTGAATGTAGTGGAAATATTACGTGCTCGTGTATGAAAATGGAAAAATGAGACCTGTTGAAAGTATTCTGGGAAGAGGGTGGGAGGATAAAGGAGAATGATGGGGGGTGAATTTAATTAAGATATATGTAAGCAGTTTTATAAATGTCACTCTATACCCAGTACAACAATAATATGAAAATTTTAAAAAATTAAAAATAATAATAAAAAGAAATGGTTTGAAGCCTAAAAGCATGATTCAAGAGCACCTGCCCAGAGACTCCAAAGCCCTGAATTCAAGCCCTCGCATTGTCAAAAAAAAAAAAAAAGCCTTAAAAAATGATTTGAAAAACACTGCCTGTCTACGGCCATACCACCCTGAACGCGCCCGATCTCGTCTGAAAAACACTGCCTTAGCTGGGCACCAGTGGCTCACGCCTGTAATCCTAGCTACTCGGGAGGCAGAGATCAGGAGGATCATGGCTCAAAGCCAGCCTGGGCAGAGTTCTGTGAGACCCTATGTCAAAAAACCCTTCACAAAAATAGGGCTGGTGGAGTGGCTCAAGGTGAAGACTCTGAGTTCAAGCCCTAGCACCAAAATTAAAAAAAAAAATTTACCTTAGTTAAAATAACATCCTTTGGTTATTATCTGGCCAACCAAGCTTAATTAATTTTTTATTCTGAGCTATTTCTATCCCCATGGTATTAGTCCTACCATTTTTTAAATAATTCTTCTTCCTTGTTCTTATTTTCATTGTAATATAAGAGAAAAAGTCTCAGGAAATATGGAAGAGTCTCCATTCACCTCATCATCAGAGGCACGGTGAATCCCCAGTGAGTAACTGAGGCAATCAGTTATGGAGGTATATTAAATACATATGACAGCCCTTTTCTTCAAGAAGAAGGTGACAAACTCAAATCCCCTAAAATAAAACAACATGTATCATGCCCTTTCTACTGAGATGGACTAGCGAATAGCAAAAACCCCTCCAAAATTATAGGCCTATTTCATTTTTTAAAGTCTTCTTAGACTCAGGTCCAAGAGTTTAATTCTGTCATGAAAATTCAAGTGGCTTTTTTTTCATATTACAAAAGAATAAGCCTTATGGGTTGTTAAAGTTGACAAAACATTCCATTCACCAATACTTAGATCAATGAACTTAGTGCATCTCTCATTGGATCAGGTAAGATGCTGGTCTTAGCGATGTCTAGAACTGGTGAGGCTCCTATGATGAAGTGGTGCTGGGTAGGAGAAGCAATGAAAGTCCACCACACAGCCTAAGATTAGCACTGAATCAGTGTAGGACACTAGGGCAAACTTCTTTGGTGTTCACTGTTCCAATTAGTCCTATGCAAGTTTTGGAGTAAGTGGTCACTCGATGCTGTCACTGGGCTTACATCAAAATGGTTTCAACAAGTTCTTAACTTTTTTACAGACATAAGATAAACGCTCATCAACCAATGAGAAAGCAGTAAAGACATCACACCTTGACTGTGTAAACTTAAAGTATAGCATGATTTTGAAGACAGTTCCCTGAAGGCAAGGATGGGGCTGCCAAGGTGGTAGGGGACAGGAGTCTTCATACAGACGAAGGGTCCTGAACTAGACTGAGAAGATAAAGAGAATTTAAATTCACAAAAGTTGTCTTTGGAAGGGGGTCAAGAAGAGGTTGCAAAGAAGGAAAATACCAGATTTATTTAGGCAGGCCAGTGGAAGAAAATAATTCCTCTTTACTATGCCCACTATTGTGACTCATAAGATTTGAAAGTAGCAAGAGACACTGGAAATTGTTGACTACTGTAAGAACGTACATTTGTATTTCCTGACATCAGAAAAAGGCCTTGAGGGAGAAATGGCTCCTCGATGGCGTCGGCAGTGGAAAAGAACAGGAGGAGATGAAGAAGCAGAATCAGCAAGACCAGCACCAGATCCAAGTTCTAGAACAAAGCATCCTCAGGTACTACCCCACCAGCTACTTTACTTTGGCTTTGTCTCATGGTACGTGTAGAAGAGTCATTGTTACTTTCAGGGGCACAATCACATCTTCCATTTGGATGTCTAAAAAAAGGCTCAGAAAACACTGTAAAATTACAGATGATTCACCTGAGCACACCAATGCTAGATTTATCCCTGAACTGCACACTGGTGAGTTACTCTACCTCTCTGCCCCTATTTCCTGACACACCTACCTTTTAGGGTTGCTGAGCAGATTTTGTGCTAAACTTCTAGCACCTACCTGGCACGTGGCACGTGGCAGCTGCACAAAATCAGTCCTTCCCAACCCCCACTCTCATCTTAAGACAGGTGACAGGTCTACAGCTGAATTTACACCACCCTCCCACACACCGTCCTTAGTGACAACCATGACAGCTTGGAAGGGAAGACATTATGTCTGGAGATCCTCCACTTCTGCCACCATGTTTATTTGGTCACAAGGGTTCCCTTATTTCTCCGTGTCCTTTCCTTCCTCTCATGCACAGTCAGTGTGGGGTCAAGTGACTTCTAGTGTAACAAGTCTTCCAATTGTGTTACCTGAAAATGAGCTGATATAGACGAAAAAGCTGCAGACCTCAAATGTAAGATAGGATTGTTAGTATTATTGCAAAAAAAAAAAATAGTGTGGGAGAAGCAGACATAGGAAGGCCAAGTCCTATTCTAGCCTCATGGAAAATGAGGGAATTTCTTGCAGTATAATCGTGACAATATCTTAAACACTACCAACTTTGAAATTTAGGGCACTTTCGATCTTTGTTCTAATTTGTTACCTTTGTGAAGACTATGTGAGAGACCTGGTGGCTATTCTGCGAACACACTTGCTTCACTGTCATCCACAGCAGAAAAACGAACAGATCTCATTTGGCCTAAAATGGACAACTCAGGGGAGAGGTTTCCTGTTGTCACATGAGTTCCGTGTGCACATGTGCAGTTAAGAGCTAAAATCATTGACTGCTCATCCTTACTTAGATGTTTTTGAAACTAACAGTTCTTAAAAGATTACATACTTGAATTTTTGCATTTGTAAACCCCTCAGTTGTTTGCTCAAAGATTCAAAGTGCTTCCAAGCAGTAGATAATAAACACTTTGTCTGTAAAGAAAAAAAAAACAATAAATCACCTGTACAATTTGGAAAACTCCACTCTTTGTGAAGCAGCCCTTTGCTAGGTCTTCTTACCAAGAGGCCAACTTAAGCTGATGTGTTTTTTCTTCTTTCCTCCACACAGCACCCTTATCTTTGAATGAGTCCTGAAGTCAATCCCTATAATCCCTTCCTGCTGCACAGACACCTTCTTGGCCCCTTCAGAACCTCTCTTGAGAGTCATTCCCCATACTGAGCCCCTAGTTTCTCTGCACCTGGGAATAACTGAAGCAGCTATACACACTCAGTCTCCCTTAGCAGGTTTGGACAATGTTGTGAGTGATCCCCAAAGATTTCCTTTTACTTGCTTGTCTAAATCCCTCAGAAGCACAGAAGCTTCTAGTAGCTATATTGCTAGTGACCTGTCTGGGCAGAGCTCCTGCCTGACCAAAAATTACAAAGAAGTTTGAGGAGGAGATGTTTAATGAGGTAGATTACACACCAAGTGATTTACGTATGTTTTCCCATTTAAACTTCATGACTTTCAGAGAGAGGTATTACCTTCACTTTTGGTGAAAACTAAAGAAGTAACACAACTAGGAGGAAGTAAGTCGGGGACGACCTCATTTGACTGCCCTACACTGTCTATAAAACGATGTCACAGCAACCTCTGTGGACTGGAGAAACTGTCTTATGAAAAGTCTTGGCGGTGCTGGGGTTTGAACCCAGGGTCCCACGCTTTCTAGGGAACACTCTACCACTTGAGCCACTCCAGCAGCCCTTTTCACAGAGGTCTTGGAAGTCTATTGTGTCCTCCTGTCCTTTCTCCCTACCACACTTGGGCTATTCTTCCCTGTCTCTCTGCTCTCTCCATGAAATCACTACTTACATGTCTGCTCAGTGCCCAATTTCTGGCATTTCACAACAACATAATTTTAGATTTTCAGGATGCTATTAACCCATCAGCACTCTTAACGAACACCAAATGATTATAGTCCACAAATACACGTAAGAATAAGGACAGTTCGTTTTTAAAGGGCCTTGTACAAGTTACAAAGCCCTTGCATTTACTTTAATACAGAAGAAAGTGTCAGCATTGCATTTCATAAATCAGGAAAGAGGCTCAGACAGGGTGAGGGACTTAGATGCCACAGAGCCAGTCAAGGGTAGAGCAGGGTTTAAAGCAAGCCAGGTTCAGTGCATGACAGCTGGAAAGTGAAGGTGTAAGTGTTCCATTTCGTGAAACAGCTGACCGTGGGACAACCATCTAGTCACCAACGAACAGCGTTGTGTAAAGAACAGTTGCAGTGAGATGAGGTCGCAAGGAATTAGTAAGGAATTTGCATGCTGGTGATCTGTGAGAGGCATGTCTGTCTAGTTAGAAATGGGCAAAGCACAGAATGTTCCATGGCCACATAGGAAGACAAAAAATACCTGTGTCACTGTAGAAATCACGCTGCTAAAAGCAGCTTGACCTGACACTGAACGTTTTCTTCTCAGCTGTCTCTAAAGCTGCTGGAATGATCCGGTGCGTGTTTGCAAATTCAATCTTTCTCCCAACCAACTACCATGTGCTTAAGAGGCTTTCGTTGCCACCTAAATAGATCGGTGCCGTTTCCTGCTGGTGCTGAACAGCAATGGACCCCACTGATGAACTTGAACCAAGTAGAGACATCCTTGTTCCCTAGGCGGAGAAAGGAGCCCAAATCCTGCATGTGACTTTATCACTTGAACTTAGGTGCCCCCTCAAGAGTGACATCTGCTAATTCTGCCAGTCCACTCAGCTGGAGGATAAGAGTTAAATAGAAGTGTTGCAGGGCTGGGTGCAATGGCTCATATCTGTAATCTCCAGGAGAAGGGATTGGGAGGATCATGGATCAAGGCCAGCCTGAGCAGGAAGTCCGTGAGACCCCCATCTCAACTTCTAAGCCAAGCATGGTGGTGTGTGCCTGTCATCCCAGCTAGGCAGGAAGATCATGGTTGGTCTCAGGTTAGCTCCAAGAAAAAACAAAAAACAAAAAACATGAGACCCTATCTGAAAAATAACTAAAGCAAAAGGGGCCAGGGTGATAGCTCAAGCACCTGCCTGGCAACCTGCTGAGTTCAACCCCCAGCACTGCTTTTTTTAAAAAAATAGAAATATTGCTGTTGTCTCAGAATCCATACCAGGGCCAGACTTTGCGCAGGAATTTTTCATTCCTTCTCTATCCATGGTTTTGTGAGACAAACTGACAGAGCTTGGCTTGGTGTTCAGATCTCCATTCTGATAACCACAGTCCATGAGCTCGCTCACGTTTATCTGCCTCGCCGAGCCTCAGCTTCCTCGCCTGTAACAGCAGGACAATTATAGTCACATCACAGAACTGCTGTGAATAAAATGACTTCCAGTGCCTGACACATGGTAAGTGTTCAAAAAAATAGCAAATACTATTTCTGATTAAAAGTCAAAAAGAATTAAAATTAGAATATTGCCCAAAATTTTACCCACATGTTTTTATTTTGGGCCAAGATCTCTCTATTCTGTGATAACAAATAATACTTTTCTTTGTATAAACTGAAAATACCACCCAACTAGGATTCTTTCCATCTGGAAGTAATTGAATCTGGAACTTTTTTTATGACTTAAAGGCTAAAATTCTAATAGGGCTTAACTTCTATAGGACATTTGTTATGGACAAAGTACTTTGCTAAACACTTCACACATATTACTTTACTGAATTCTTATAATCACCTTATGCTGGTTTAACAGAAAAATGACATTTATAGAGGTTAACTTACCCCCAAATTACATGGATAAAAAAGTTAAGAGCCAAGATTAAAAGTCCTACTCATGAAAGAAAATTATGCCCTAGATCCTAGAGAAAATTTTTACAGAAGTTCAATTTGAGGCTGGAGGCATAGCTTAAGCAGTAAAGTGCCTGCCCAGTAAGTGTGGAGCCCTGAGTTCAAACCCCAGCACTGCCCCAAAAAAGGCTAAATTTTGTCAACTCTGCCTTTCATAGCACCTTTATTTCTGATCCATGCCATGATTTCACTCTTAAATGCAGAAACTTTCATAGACATTCACCTGACAATTTAACATACTGAAAATATACACGGGGTTCCCTAACTCCCACATGACTCCTTATTCATCCTGTCTTTTATTCCAAAGACAAGCACCATTTCACAAAGCAAGTGGGTTTCCATGGTTTCTGTCCCTGAGTCACATTCTTAGCCTTGGAACAGTATTGTCAAGCATCTTGCCTGGTTCCCTGATTGCTACCTTAGGATGCAAAGTCCCCAGGAGAAGGCTACTGGACACCTCCTCCTGAATCACTTCACTTACACAGACCTTCAGTTTGCCTTCCTGTGAGCCCTGCTCTTCCTGTGATCAGGAAACGTCACTTCCTGGTTGGAGGCACAGGAGCCCTCACTTCTGGTCCAAAAAGCTATGCTCACAATATATAAGCTGATTTACTTTCCCACAGCCCTTATCCAGTACAACACCCCCAGGGAGCCTCCAAAGGAGCTATCCTCCCAGCAACATTTGGGTCCTTTCCCCTGCTCCCTTGAAGCTCTCCGTGACCTCCCTCCCTCCACCAAATTGCCTTGCAACAAGCTCCTCTCCAGCCACGTGCTACGTCTTGACCTGGGTCCAAAGACCTCTGACTTTAATTGCAACACACAGAGAGCCTGGCAGAAATGTCATAAGCATAAAATCTAAAAGGTTCACTGCCAAGGAGAATGATGCAAATACACTGCTTTCCCTTTGAGAAAAAGGATAAGCTACTTATGATTAAATATTCTCTAGGAAGGATTTTCTTTTTCATATTCCAAAGTACCCTTTTCACCCTCTGCCTTCTTTTAGTGAACTTTTGCTAAACAATTAGAAACTGCCTCCC